CTTTCTGTCACTATCTTTATCTGACACATGTGTGCGAAGTGCCGAATGACAGAGATAGACTGATAGACAGCAGAGGTCTTTTTACCTTTGTCTATACGTCTACTATGTGAGTTGTTTTCTGTGGTTGTTGGGTGGCTTGTTTCTTATTTATTATTTTGTTTTGTGTTATTTTGTCATTTACCGCTATCGACTTACTCCATCGTCTATATTTTTTATTTTATTTTTTCTAAATAGTAAGTTGTATTAGAGCGTTTTGAATTTGTACTTTACTTTAACGCATTTTATCTACTACTTAAGTGAGATTATTTACGCTTTATATCGTTTAAGCTGGCCTGTCAATGAAACCACAAGTGCTATGAAAAATTTTCTGAAGATTCGGTCGCCCTGTCACTTCGGTAACCAGTGAGCGGTTCTTCTCTTAAGCTGGAGATAATGTAAGAGAGCAATGGCTTACTCGTACAACGTCATAAAAATTATTATTTTTGTGTTCTGTTATGATGATAAATTATTATAAAATGTCATGTTTTATGAACGAAAATAAAATATGTCAAATAGTATCTGTTAATGTGTTTTAGTTTTCCTGTATAAAACAGATATCCTTTAGAATCATCGAAGAAACATCGATATATCGTTCGAAGCGAGCAACGTTGTCGCTGCTTCACGATAGGTTTGTTTCTTCTAAATAGAGGTGCAGTACGCTCAACGTCAAACGCATTACTTTCTATTTGTCGCCCGCATTCATATTGGGCTGACGAATGACAAAATAACATAACGAATAGTTAACTAGTTGCACATTCGTTGAAATGCGAAAATCCGTTTAAATCGTGGCACCCACGTCGGAGTTCACAAACTACAAATGCTTGGGTCACTGCAAATAACTTATCATGTCAAAATATGAAGTCAGGTAGAATTCTTAACAAATAAACTTTGAATATGCAGCATCTATAGTATCTAAGCCAAGGCTATGAAAATCCTTAAACCTTGACATAAGACCGTAGTGTAGAATGAGTATCAGTGGAAAACAGTATTGTTAAACCAGGCTCGATCGTTGCGATAATGAGGCTTAAAACGTATTTGAACGAACGGGTAGATAATAATTATAGTCTAGAGCTTGGAGTATGCACGGTTTTAGGATCCGTGTTAAGTCGCCATTTTAATATTTTAAGTTATGGCAGGAGAGAAAATAGTTCCGAACGAATTTGAAAAATAAAATAAAAGGGTTTGGTAATACCAAAATCGACTCTAACGCAAACGGTGGCAAAATAAATTTTAGATTACCGCTAAAACTGAAGGCTAAGTCACAAAATGTTTCAAATTGAAGTCTGAATCCACTTATACACAATCTATAATAGGACATGGGAAACTCGAAAGATGCGTCAAAAGGAACCAATCGAGATAGGACTTGCGGTGGGGTATCGACGGCTTTTGCAACATGTTCCATGCTACAACCCCCATGACCATACAACAGTAAAGCTGCGTGATGGCGTAGTGGTAGGCGCTTCGAGTCTACTAATCAGCGCCGTGATTTAAGCGGGTTCGAATCACGTCCCAAGAGCTTTTTTCTCTCGGCTATGGCTGTTGTATCTGTAGATGGTAGACAGATCTCTGAGGTGGGGGCAGAACACGTTTATGTCGCATACACACGTGTTCCCTCGCTAGGGTACGTATGACGTCATCTCTTTTCCCTGTATTCTCTTATAACGGGTGATTTTTTAAAAGGTATAGGATTTGATTTTCAAAAAAAAACACAAAAAATTTGAAAAAACGATTAAATCTTTATTTGAGTCGATAGAACGGTCGATATAATTTAATGTTTAAAGATTATTATTTCATGTAAATGTTGGCCGCGGCTCCGCTTTAGATGGCCCATGCGGAAGGTCCAATTTTGGCACACTCTCTCCAACATATCGGCCGGTATCTCACGAATAAATGCTTTAATATTGGCTTCCAGTACATCAATCGTTGCTGGTTTATTCCTGTAGACATTAGCCTTAACATGGCCCCACACTAAATAGTCCAACGGCGTTAAATCACACGATCTAGGCGGCCAATTGACGGGCTGCAAACGTGAGATAAACTGTTCACCGAACTCGCCTCTCAATAGGGCCATTGTTTCGTGTGCGGTGTGGCATGAGGCACCGTCTTGTTGAAACCACATGTCAGCCAAGTCCAGCTCTTCCATTTTGGGCAAAAAGAAGTTTGTTATCATCGCACGGTAGCGCTCGCCATTCACAGTTACGTTCCGGCCATTGTCGTCTTTGAAGAAGTACGGCCCGATGATACCACCCGCCCATATTTTTTTTTTTTATACTCCAACTACCACGAAGGCCTAAGGCCTAAGCACACATTGGGTACCGTGGGGCTATAGGGGGATACATGGGAAAGGGGGGACGCCACACGGACTCTGGCGAGGGAACACGTGTGCATGCAACATGCACACATTCTGGCTCCGCCTACGAGAACCGCCGGGTGGTACCTCCGCGTTCGACAGTCAGAGTCCATCTACCACCTACGGACAATCACAACATCCATAGCCAAGAGAAAAATTTCTCCTAGGACGGGACTCGAACCCGCACAGAGCACGGCGACTGATAAGGAGACCGAAGGTCTACTACTGCGGCCACCGCTGCTGCCTAAAACAAACACACAACATCCATGGCGAAGGCGAGATTCTAACTCGCGGCCCGGCCGGCCGGCTAATCAGTAGCACGACACTCTGACCCACGCGGCCAACCGAGGTCTCCGAGGATAATCCACACCAAACAGTGATTTTTTCGGAATGCATTGGTAGCTCTTGCAATGCTTCTGGCTGGTCTTCACTCCAGATGCGGCAATTTTGCTTGTTAATGTACCCATTCAACCAGAAATGAGCTTCGTCGCTGAACACAATTTTTCGATAAAAATGTGGATCTTCCTCCAACTTTGCCAGCGCCCATTCACCAAACTGGAAACGTTGTGGGAGGTCATGTGGCTTAATTTCTTGCACCAGCTGTATCTTGTAAGGTTTTACATCCAAATCCTGTCGCAAAATTTTCCACGTAGTGGAGTAACAGAGGCCCAATTGCTGCGAACGGCGGCGAATCGACATTTCACGGTCATCACTAACACTGGCGGATACAGTCGCAATATTTTCTTCAGTCCTCACTCTACGTCTGCCTGTTGGTGGTTTAATGTCCAATAATGTAAACTGGGTTCGAAATTTAGTCACAAGCTTCCGAATAGCTCCCTCAGTAGGCCGATCAAATTGCCCATAAATTGGAAGCAGTGCTCGATGCACTCTCTTAACCGAGCATGAATTTTGATAGTAAAATTCAATAATTTGCAAGCGTTGTTCGTTCGTAAGTCGATTCATGGTTAAATTATAGACCAATCTGAACAAGTTTGACAATGACACAAGACACGATTCACGCGTCAACTGTCAAAAACAGTGTTGCCAAAAAGATACTAGCAAAAAAATCACCCATTAGTTTCTCGGTACCCACGGATGGTTAGGGCTTAGGCTTTCGTGGTAGTTCGAGTACAAAAAACGGAGCCGGTATCGGAAATCGAAATTATGGAATCAAATCATTGAAAGTATCGATGTGGTCCAGGTTTAGTGGCAGGTGTAATCCAAAGAAACAACACTGTCACTGCCTAATCTCGAAGTAGGAAACACGTACAACTAGACAAAGCCACAGATAGCTAGTAGGTAGTACAAAATTAATTTGTAAATATCTCAATTTGACAGTAAGAATTACAGTTGCCCGATATGGATGCGGACTTCTTGGGCGGACTCGACAACATTCACAGGAACCCAACCTTTCTTTTAGCGATGGTCAGTTTCGGCAGAGCGGTTGCTGCAACAAGTCTCTCGCCCGCGTATGATGGAATAGGTTCGTCCAATAAGTAACTTTACTATTAGCATTCCGTATACTTTCACTGCGCATCCAGCCAGTGTCTGTCTAATGGCGTTCCGGTAAAAGCCCGGCGTTTTCATGCGCCGCGTGGCAGCCACAGGGCTTTATTTACATAATGCAAACGCTCTATATCTACCATACATTAGTACCGTGAGCTTTGTCACTGGATTTATAGGGAATTTAGTAACAGGAGATGTCTGGTGCTAGCCTGGATAGGTAAATCCTATTTGCGCCTTTTTCTTCACCTCCGATGATTGACACTAAAGCACTACCGCTTCTGACATTCTGATTAGAAAATATCGAACACTGAAAATGTCAGAAACTTTGAGATTGGATAGTTCTGTAAGTTTTCAAAATTTTAAGGTTCTGAAAGTGTAAATTTTAATTTTTGGAATGGAATTTTGTAAATCTTGTAATTTTTTGAAGGTTTGGAAATTGTGTAATTTTTGGAAATATTTTAAATTTTGGAAACTTTAACTTTTGGAAATTTTGGAAATTGTATTAATTTCAGAAATTATGGATACATTGGAAATTTTATAAACATCAGAAATTTTCAAAATATCAGATGTAATGGAAATTTTTGAAAATATATTGATAAGTTTGAAAATTTAAAAAATTTCTATATTTTTAAAACCTGTGATGGAAAGTATTACCAAGGAGATATTATTTCTCAAACGGCACTCAGTCCTCAAGAAACGTTTATAAATGAAGTGGCGTCTAGTAACATACCAGACGCCACATTAGGGATATTTCCCTCATGCAGAAAAAATGGGAGGTGTGGAATTATCGCAAAATTAGAGCGACTATTTCCCTCGTCTAATTTCTACCAGTCACAAACGCGCAATTTTGAATTACAAATGGCTTCTGGATAGAAAAATTGTATGACAGCACCTGTCAGCAGTTTTTTCGAGTTTACCCGCAGCAAAACTTGACTGCTGTTGTCACCAAAAATTACACTACTTTTGATAACAAGTAATATAAAGGCGGGTCCAGACATATGTAATGTATCGTGTAATGTAACATGTAATGTAATGCGAATTCATTTGGACGCTACCTGAGCATAGAATGAATGCAACCAGAATACTTACCGCGAATTGTTTATCCATTTAGTATTCGCGAACATGTCGAGGGAGGTAGTAGTTGCGGGAGCTGCATTTATAGCTATGTATTTACTCGTGGAGGAAAATGAAGATGAAAATAAACCACGCCGTCGTCGCCGTTGGTGGAAAACACAATTATATAAAAAAAGAGCCGGTTCGGAATTGATGATTGATTTAAAATCTCAGGAATTAAGTGGGCAATACAAAAACTTCACACGTATGTCACCTATCGATTTTGAATATTTAATTACTTTAGTCGGAGCAAAAGTAGGAAAATATGATACCCCAATGAGAGCTGCTATATCAGTTCAAGATAGATTAGCACTTACAGTGAGATTTTTAGCAACGGGGGATTCTTACACAAGTCTACAATACATTTTCAGAATTTCAAAGCAATCTATTTCCTTGATTGTCCCAGAAGTTTGCTTGGCAATTATTGAAGCCATAAAAGAAAATATACGGGTAAGTTTTTAATACTTATTTATTACCTTTTATTTAAATTTAAATTTAGTTTTAAATTTAGATAGTAATGTTAGTATAAGAAACATATGTTTGTTAATTTTACACCAAATCTTGAATGTCGAAAGATTCTTGAGATAGTTGTGAATAGGCGGGAGATGGCTCAGAAAACGTTCCATATGGGGAAATAGCGGGTACCTCCACACGTACGGGAGGTGCGGGCGTTTGAGAGGTAGTGCATGTCGTATTGTTGCTAGGCCATTGCTGTAACTGCTGTGCGTACTGTTTAGGATAAAAATTATAATATCCTTCATCAGCTTTAAATAATACATCTGTTATAGCACGCTCTACAGCATTCAGAACATTTGGTGGATACCTCATCATTTTGCTGCCAATGAAATTAATAAAGTGAAGATTTTCGTTATCTAATGAAACATTTGATGCAGGTTGAGTCTGAGTGGTCGTTGTCTTTAGTATGTCGAGGGCTTCAGCTAGCATTTCAATTTTTTTGTTGTTTTCTCTAGGTTCCGTGTAACTTCTCTTCTTTTTTGGTGGTTGCGAATGTGAAATGGACTCTCTTGGCATGTCTGATTCCTTCACACTATCATTTTCATCATTTCTAGAAACACTGTTACTTACGACGTCGATGTCTACTGCCTGCAACAAAATATAATTTTTAAATTTTCAGGTACCAACTACTCCAGCGGGGTGGAAAGAAATCTCAAAAAAGTTTGAAGAACTATGGAATTTTCCCCATTGCATTGGTTCTATGGATGGAAAACATGTTATTATCGATGCTCCAATTCACAGTGGAACTGAATATCGTAACTACAAGTCATTTTTCAGCATTGTTATGTTTGCCGTAGTGGATGCGGAATATAATTTTTTATTTGTGGATGCCGGATGTCAAGGCAGAATATCAGATGGTGGGGTATTTAAGGATACAATTTTTTTTCAAAAAATTGGAAGCTGATAACTTGGGTTTACCGCTAGCAGAAACTTTAGTTGGAAGAAATAAAGAAGTGCCTTATGTTCTTGTAAGTGACTCTGCATTTCCACTAGCTGAACATATAATGAAACCATATCCAGGAGATTTTCCTAAAGGTTTAAAGCAAAGAATTTTCAATTACCGTTTAAGCAGAGCGCGGAGAATTGTTGAAAATATTTTCGGAATCATAGCTTCAGTTGTTAGAGTTTTACGTAGACCAATACTTCTCCAACCCGAAAACGCTGAGATTATAGTCATGACCATTGCACATCTACATAACTTTTTAAGAAAAAATTCTGAATCACAAAGATATTACACACCGCTTGGATCTTTCGATCGTGAAGAAGAGGGACAAATTGTTGAAGGATCTTGGAGAAATGAACCAAACACAGGTTCATTACTTCCACTTAGGAATGTACCACGAAGAGCTCCTTTGATAGCAAAACACATCAGAGAAGAATTTTCTGATTATTTCTGCAATGAGGGAAAAGTTCCATGGCAAGATCGATACTGTTAAATAGTATATACCATATGTATAGTTTATAAACTGTATTTATTATTGCATTTATAAAAAATACTTACCATAGAATTAAGTCTTTTTCTTGGATTGTCCCTGTCTCCCAAAAATGCCAGTACTTCATAGGCAAACCATGTGCTTTGATATATTTCTTGCTGCCTGCAAAAAATAAAAATAAATGGTATAAAAATGGTAACAAAACACAGTATACTGCCTACTCCACAACTAATTTAATTTTTAAGGGTATATTATTACCCAATTGTCTATTATCTATAGTATTGTCAATGTGAATAATTTCGAATTAATAACGTAGTAAATTTAAAAAAAAAGATAATAGCCAAGTTTAAAAAATCAGATTAAGATTTTACCGTAGGTACTAAGTATTTAATTAAGGGATAAACATACCTTTTCCGGTTCCTAGGTGCTTCTTTACTTTCGCCTTCTCTCTGCGATAGGATGCAAATAAACTAATCATTTTATTTTTGCACTCTTCTGCTTCGATCCCCAGAGAGTCTGCAATTTTTCGCCAAGCATCATTTTTTAATGGTTTTTTAAAATATGTAGGGTCTTTCGGATTCCATAAGACTGACTGATTTTTGTACAGTTCAATTAACTCTAGTGACTTTTCTTCACTCCACATTTTAAAAATAACACCTCAACTAACACTAAATACGATTTATAGACGTTATTAATTTATCCCGAACTAGGGCTCGATGTCGCAATAACACATACAACTCGAATCACGTCCAAACGTAGACTGCGAGCTCAGCGCGAGCGCCTTTGTGTTCGGGCAAAAAACCGACATCCGATGGATTCCCTCGAACCATTCGGCGAGCGTTACACGTAATGCTCGCAGTACCGTCCAAACGGAGAATTCGCGTTACATTACACGATACATTACACATGTCTGGACGCGCCTTAAGATAAAGAATGCACACGTCGTATGGTAAAAAAATAACAGACTTTATTGCAGGAACGAAGAGTGGTTACAAGTATTGAATAAAATCTGTCTGTGCCTCGATATAATTCTAATCTTTATAGGAAAAATAACAGAGCTGTATCGAAAAAAAAAGAAGTAAAAAGCAAATATTTCTTAATGGGCTTGCTTGCCATACAATTCAATTTGTTGGAATAATGGGCTTGTACCACATAGTTATGTTACCAACAGGATTCCATAACTTATATGTATGCAGAATAATCTGTTACTCATGAAATAGCCTTGTCAAATACCATTCGAGCATATAATATTCTCCTATGAAAAAATTGAAAAAACAATGAAAAATGTAATTTTTGAACAAAAAGCATTCATGCGGTTTGCCACTACCACTCATCCTTCTTGTTAAAATATCACTTAGTAACGTGTTTTTTCGATTTTTTTCGGAAAAATTAGATGCCCTCATGATATTACTCATGAAAATTGCCCAGTAGACATCTAAAATTTCCCTATAGGTCAATTTCTATAGTTACAATTCATGAAATGTGCAAGTTTCATCTTGACATGCATAAATATGGGAAACTCGCGAAATATTCTACCAAACTACACTCGTGCTTTAAAATAAACCTGATAATTTTCCATTCAAGCATGTTGTCAGTAAAAAACCGCATTCGGTTATTTTCATATTTTGTCAAAATAAAAATAAACTCATGCAGTTTTAGACAACACGCTTTCATGAAAAATTATCGGCAATTCTTATGTACTTGTGTAATTACTTCCGAAAACATTTTATCCACACTTCAAAGCGACAACTCGATCAGCAGTGAGTGAACTTCATGTTCTCATGCTCTCAGACGTATCTCGCTTGCACCAACTCATATTGACTGAACTATAAATCGTCCTCCCTCAATCCTCCAGAGTGCGGAGTCCAAGCGAGACAAATCAGAGCATTACAGGTTTTTGCGAAAGCCTAGTTGAAACGATGTGTATGCAGAAAATGCTCACATTCAAACATCAAGCCATTGAAAACGAATCAAACGAATTCTCTAGAAAGGCACGATTAAACATGAAGCAGGGCACAAGATACTTTCTAGCAGAGGGATAAAGCCACGTACAAAAAGATGTCACAGCGTTTAAGGCGTTCCGCTGAGGTGGAAAAAAGAAGACTAGCGACGACTTCCTCTCTGACAAGAGACCTGGAGGCTATCACTGCTTGGGGGCGCAACAATCTTGTACAGTTCAATGCTTCCAAAACACAGTACTGTACTTTGACGAACAAAAAGCGTCCTAGCGCTCATCCAGTTTCGATGGACGGTCGACTTCTGCCAAAGAGCCATTCATTTCGGCTGGTCGGAGTCCAGATCACCGAGGACCTGATCTGGCACGAACACATCTCGTCAATAGCTGCAGCTGCTGAGAAAAAGCTAGCCTATTTGTTTAGGGCTAACAAGTACTTTTCTCCGCATGACCTTCTGACTCTATACAAGGCCCAGATAAGGCCTAGCCTCGAGTATGGCTCACACGTTTGGGGTGCTGCCGTTCCGACTGCATTATCCAAGCTAGATGCTGTCCAGAGGAGGGCGGTCCGACTGATCGATTACTCTTCTCTAACAGACAGTCTCGGGACTCTTCTATCGCTACACCAACGCGCTTTGCCCCTCTTCCATGATGCTGCCGCGCGATGTGACTGCCAGACAGACCCGCCTGACTTTGGCGTCCCATCCTAACCGTGTCGAACTTCGTACATCCATAACTGGCCAATGCGACCGCTCCTTTCTCCAGAGGGTGTCGAGATTGTGGAACAATCTACAAGAGGAAGCTTTCCTCAGTTCTACTAACCTTAGGCAGTTCAAAAAAAAAGAGTAACCTCGCATTTTTGCACATCTAGACATACGAAGTTTTCAATTCATAAGCTTATTCAAAAGAAAGTTGATAATTTGAGTGGAAGCATTATCTTTGAAAATATAGTACATGATTTATCTGCAGCCATAATCTTATTCTTTACTGTTTTCTTTTTTAGTCGTGTTTTCATACTGTTTGTTCACTTTTTTCATAAAATCTTTAATTATCGACTCCTTGACAAATGAAGTCACATTTTCCTTGACGATTTGATTTGATGCGGCGGTTATTTCGTGTTTCATTGCTGCAACTCTAGATTTCTCGAGAAGTTCCGGAAATACTTGAACTCTTTCATCAATAAACATCTCAGAAGGCACATCATCGCTAACAAACGTCTGGTCACTGGCTGTGTCAGAAATTTTAAACTTGTTTACTTGCACTACGCAAATTGTACCGTAGGCGCAGACACAAGAAAATGAGGATGTGTCCAAGAAAGTGACAACTTGCTTCAAGTCTTTAACAGAAACTATATAGAACGCTCTTTAAGATGATCTAATAGTGCAACTTACTCGTGAACTTGAGGTAAGATTCCAGTTTGTAGATTTATTCCCTTTAGCGCGACAATGAATCAATGATTTTAGAAGCAAAATGCAGTCAATAGTGCCCAGCCGCTTGAAGTATTCAAATGTTATTTATTCGTTGAAATATGGTTTTCATGTCGTCCATGTCTCAATCTTATCATCTCAAATTTCAGTTTGCTTGCTTGATTCGTTCAAAAAAATAGGCAGCGACCTTTCTGAAAAGCACTCTGTATGGTGAAGAGTGAATGATTAGCCCAAAATTAGAGAAGTTGGGGTGTCTAAAAGTAAGCCTGATTCTAAAGAGGTCAATATTGAGACAAAAAGTGACAGACAACTTAGGCATTACTTAGTAAACCCCTCGATTAATAGAAACTTTACAATTCATGTGCTTGATTCTTTTCTAGAATATGTGGCTATTTTTTATTGCTTTTAATTTTTAAGTGAGTTTAAGAAGAGGAGGTGGGTTGATAAGGGCCATTTTTCGCCCATAACACACTCAAAAATAAAAAGTTCGATTCCAGACTATTATTGAATTTGTGAATTTTAAGACGTGTATTTTTTCATTATATAATATTTACGGTATAAATAATGTAATATGCTTCCCAAATTATTGCCAAGAAATGGAGTATTTAGCGCTTTTTGTACATTTTTGTTGTTTTCCGATCATTGAATCATGTTTTCACTACTCTACTACATTAACTTCAATGCTCAGTAAGTCTTCTTATTATAAGCTTGTATATGAGAATTTATTAGTTTTGATTTAGTTAGCGCATCAATCCAAAAATACGTAATATATGCTGCGGGAGAGTGTGAGTCACGCTGCAATCGCTGCATGATCAAACATGATTTTTCGCGCTCGAAAAGTAATGGGTGATTTTTTTGCTAGTATCTTTTTGGCAACACTGTTTTCGACAGATGACGCGTGAATCGTGTCTTGTGTCATTGTCAAACTTGTTCAGTTTGGTCTATAATTTAACCATGAATCGACTTACAAACGAACAACGCTTGCAAATTATTGAATTTTACTATCAAAATTCATGCTCGGTTAAGAGAGTGCATCGAGCACTGCTTCCAATTTATGGGCAATTTGGTCGGCCTAATGAGGGAGCTATTCGGAAGCTTGTGACTAAATTTCGAACCCAGTTTACATTATTGGACATTAAACCACCAACACGCAGACGTAGAGTGAGGACTGAAGAAAATATTGCGGCTGTATACGCCAGTGTTAGTGATGACCGTGAAATGTCGATTCGCCGCCGTTCGCAGCAATTGAGCCTCTGTTACTCCACTACGTGGAAACTTTTGCGACAGGATTTGGGTGTAAAACCTTATAAGATAAAGCTGGTGCAAGAATTGAAGCCACACGACCTCCCATAACGTGTCCAATTTGGTGAATGGGCGCTGGCAAAGTTGGAGGAAGATCCACATTTTTATCGAAAAATTGTGTTCAGCGACGAAGCTCATTTGTGGTTGAATGGGTACGTTAACAAGCAAAATTGCCGCATCTGGAGTGAAGACCAGCCAGAAGCATTGCAAGAGCTACCAATGCATCCCGAAAAAATCACTGTTTGGTGTGGATTATGGGCCGGTGGCATCATCGAGCCGTACTTCTTCAAAGACGACAATGGCCGGAACGTAAGTGTGAATGGCGAGCGCTACCGTGCGATGATAACAAACTTTTTTTTGCCTAAAATGGAAGAGCTGGACTTGACTGACATGTGG